CAGTAGACAGGGTGTTCTCTTGGTGCTGCTGTTTACGGTGCCTCTTTAGACATAAATCAGAGTACCAGGGTTCAAGTCCTAGCTCCATTTCCTGCTAATGCACACCCTTAAATGCAGCAGGTGTTGTCTCAAGCAGTCGTGTCCCTGCTACTGACATTGCAGACCTAGATTAAGTTCCTAGCTCCCAGCTTTGGCCTGGCCTAGTCCTGGCCACTGTTAGGTATCTGGGGAATGAACCATTAGATGAAGATATGTATCTCTCTCTTATTCTCTCATCCCACCCCAAACCCCTCTGTCTCTCAAACAAAAATAAATATCAAACATTGGGCCAACATCTCTATGGTAACAAAGGAAAAATTATCAACCTACAGTTCCACACTCAGTGCAATCATCTTTGAAAATAAAAGACAAAACAGATACTGAAAGAGTTTTTCACCAGGCAGCCCACACTGTAAGACATTTATTTTAAAAAGACATACATTATTTTTGGCAGAAATAAAATCACAGCATACTCCTATTAAAAATATGGATCTAAGGGCAGCATTGTGGCATAGCAGGTAAAGCCACGGCCTGCAGTACCAGTATCCTGTATGGATGTTGGTTTGAATCCTAGATGCTACACTTCTGATCCAGCTCTCTGCTAAGGCACCACCCAAATGGGAGATCTGGAAGAAGCTCCTGAATCCTGACTTCAGACTGGCCCAGCGCCAGTCTTTGTGGCCATCTGGGGAGTGAACCAGAGGATGGAAGATCTCTCTTCTCTTCTCTTTTCCATTCAGTCCCCCTCTCTCACCCTCTCTCTAACTCTGCTTTCAATAAAAAATCTTTTTTAAAAAAGTATGGATGTAGAAAAACTCCCCTTTTACCTTTCCTGGCCCACTCAGTGTGGCCTGAACTCTTCTCACTTTGTGAATAAACCCTATCACACTGCAAAAAAAAAAAAAAAAAAGTATGGATGTATACAAAAAAATGGAAGTAATGAAAATATGAGTGAAGATTTAAAATATTGCTTTCTCATTGTTTAAATTTCTCTAAAAGATAATTGGCTGTTTAAACAAAAATATTAATGCAGTTTAGGACTCACAAATTATGTAAAACATATGAAAAACATAGCAAAATGGTAGTAAGGGAGAGAAAATGAAAGTAAATTAATGGAAGGCTCCTAAGATTTCCTTATTTATTTACTTATTTATTTGGAAAGGTAAAGTGACACAGAGGGAAAGACAAGCAAAGAGACAGACATATGCCATCCACTGGTTCACTCCCCAGCTGGCCAAAATAGCCAGGGCTGGTTCACATAGAAGACAGGGGTAGGGGACCTTTTTACTGCCAAGGACCATGTGAATATTTACAACATCATTCACGGGCCATACAAAATTATCAACTGAAAAATGAGCCTTTTATAGATTTATTGAATTTAAGAGTCTCGCCTGTAGTTGCCTTGGCAGGGCCAAGCCAATCCCCACCCTTGCATATCTATGGAAGTACAACTGCTACATTAAACGCCCAGACTTTATGGTTGCTCTGTGTTATAATCCCCATTTTATTAAGACACTAAGGCTTACAGGACCAAGAAATTTCTTCAAGATCACACACTAAGGTAGTAGAGTTAAAACCAATGAGTTCTACTTCTCTCATTTAAAAAGTAAATACTCAAGGTTAGATAGCTCCTGCTCCAGGGAACATGTAATTATCAAAAATAAATCCTGACAGATGTTTTCTCTACTTTTATGTAAAGTTAAAAGAGGAGGTGATAGCAAATGACTCCACTCAAGTCCACCTTTTGATCACTCACTGAAATATGATTCCATGAAGATCACACAACTAAAACTTTGATATTGTTAAAATATCCTACTCTTCATCATTCCGGAAAATTCTACTCAAATATTTTATAGTTGTGCTTGCTTCACTTGCACATATATGTGTATCTGAAAAAGTGTGGAAAAATGAAATTAAAAGATAAGTATATTCAGGGGCTGGCATCATAGCAGAGCAGTTTAAATCGCTACCTACAATGCAGGCATCCGATAAGAGCATCAGTTGAATTCAGGCTGCTCCGCTTTCATTCACTGCTAATGCACCTGGAAAAGCAGTGAAGATGGACCAAGTAATTGGGCTCCTGCCATCCTTATGGGAGACCCACATGGAGTCCCAGGCTCTAGCTCTGGCCTGGCTCAGGCCTAGCCATTGCAACCATTTGGGGAATGAATCAGCAGATGGTAGATCTCTCTCTGTCTTGTACTCTGTCTCTGTGACTCTGCCTTTCAAATAAATAAATAAACCTTTTTTAAAAAAAAAGTATATTTTCGTGCAAAAAATTCTGAAATACATGCATACTGGAATGATACAGAGAAGATTAGCATGGGCCTGTGCAAGGATGACATGCAAATTTGTAAGGCATTCCCTATAATAAGTGTACAAATAGCAGTTAAGTACGATGAGATGTGTATAAATTTTGTCCATGTAAAATAATAAGTAGTAATATAGTGGTTATCACTGTTGCTATAATTTTAAATTAAAAGCACTCTTATAATTACTAAGTCTAAATTTGAAAATCCTATGTTTAAAACTCAGTGAAGTGAATGTAATAATCATTTTGGGACTACTACATATTTTAGAAATTACTTGAGAATACTTTCAAAACATTCTGCAACTCATCTAAACCAACCAAGTAATTCCCAAAATTTTCAGAGTGATTCTTGTATTTTAAAGAAGAGAATAAAGCCAAAATTTATTTTTAGCTGTATCAATTATTTAGCCCTGCAGTCTTTGATTTTAGAAATATAATAATGCAGTCTCTATTTCACAAGTTTTAATCTTGCCTTTTTAAATGAGCCTATTTTTAACCACACTCCATGATCTAAGATGGCTACTTATTAATTACAAAGATATTATGTAAAACATGTATTTTTAAAATGTAGCTGTTTAAGACCAACAGTAAAGGAATCTTTTATATTACTTTGCTTCTTTCAATGAAAAGGAATTGGATTATAACAACACTGCTAGACAAAAGATCTTGAAGGTTTAATTGTATCTCATTTAAAAAAATTAAAACGGGGCCTGGTGTTGTGGTATAGCAGGTTGAGCTGTCACTTGGGACACCTGTATCTTCTGTCAGAGTGCCCAGGTTCTAACTCCACTTCCACTTCCAATCCAGGGAGACAACAAATGTTGGTTCAAGTATTCATGTCGCTGTCATCCACATAGGAGACTTGGAAGGAATTCCTGGCTCCAGGCTTTGACCTAGCCTAGCCTAGGCCATTGTAGGTATTTGGGGAGGGAACCAGTCGATGGGAGATCTCTCACTTTCTATCATTCTGCCTTTCAAATAAATAAACTTTAAATAAATTGATTTTTAACTAGATGCATACCAATTTTACATATGCTACAGAAAAAATAATATGAGTTAAATAACTGAATACTATAAAAGTGTAAGACTTTATGAGTTCCAGGGCCTGTGCTTTAAGAGCAGCAGGTTAAGCTGCCATTGGTAATGCCAGCATTCCATAGGGGTGCCTGTTAGAGTCCCAGCTGCTTCACTTCTGAAACAGCTTCCTGCTAATGGGCCTGGAAAAGCAGCAGATGATGGCCCAAGTGTGTGGGCCCCTGTACCCACATGGGAGACCTATATGGAGTTCCTGGTTCCTGACTTGGCGCTGGCTTGCCCCAAGCTGCTGCAGCCATTCAGGGAGTGAACCTGCAGATGGCAGATCTCTATTTCTCTTTCTCTCTCTCTCTCTCTCTCTAAGTCTCTAATTCTTTCAACTAAAATGAATAAATTAAAAAAAAAAAAAAAAAAAGACAGGGGGCCTGCGCTGTGGCTCACTAGACTAATCCTCCTCCTGTAGCGCCGGCATCCCATATGGGTGCCAGTTCTAGTCCTGGTTGCTCCTCTTCCAGTCCAGCTCTCTGCTGTGGCCCAGGAAGGCAGTGGAGGATGGCCCATGTGCTTGGGCCCCTGCACCCGCTTGGGAGGCCAGGAGGAAACACCTGGCTCCTGGCTTTGGATCGGTGCAGCTCTGGCCGTAGCAGCCATTTGGAGGGTGAACCAACAGAGGGAAGACCTTTCTCTCTCTCTCTCTCTCTGTCTAACTCTATCTGTCAAAAAAAAAAAAAGATAGGGCATGACAAATTCTAGCTTTAAATCATGTAAATGCAATTCATTTTCTCATTTGCCACAGTTCCTTAAAATTAAACTTAAACTAGGCCAAATAGGGGGTATTAGAGAACTGGATTTGGGAACTAAGATACTAAAATATCCACTAAGGGCGGGGGGAGATGCAGGAACCACAAGGCTAGGCTCTTGGCCTAGAGGTGAAGACACTGGTTTTGTTAGGAGGAAGGCAGCAATTAGCCTATGTATGTGTGCAGGGACCCTAAAGAAAACAAAGCACCCTTGGAAAGGAATGCAGCAGCCTCTAGCAGCCTGGGAAGCAAACCCTGGAAGCAGCCCAGTACTCTGCACTACAAAGTCCTGCCCATACCCTAATAACGTTATAGGTAGTCCTAGCCTCCCCTCTATAACCCACTGTCTTGCCCAAGAAAAGCACCCCAGGAGAATCCTCTCTGCCCAGTGCCAAGAGGGCTACCCAGTCAGATATCATTGAGTTTGGGAGGAATTTTACCTATTCCACACCCAGCAAACCCTTTGTCCAGAAGAGGGTAGGAGGGAAGCAGCAACAGCAGAAAGACCTGGACCCATTCCCTTATAATCCCCTGAATGCAGACCACACTCTCAGTGCTCAGTTCTGTGCTGATGCCCACCTGGCCTGTCAGGTGTGTTCTATTAAACTTTGTAACTTTGCTAACCCTGAATAATATGGCACATACTCTCAGATACATCTGGAGAGATGCCCGATCCCATCAAATCTTGCTTAGCATCACTCTCTGGCTCTGAATTCTTTATTGTACCAAGACAAGAAACTCTTGAGCAGCCATCTCCGCTAACAGTTTGAACACCCAAGGCCCACAGCTCATGTCAACATCCCACATTAGAGTACCTGGGTTTGATATCCAGCCCCAGGTCCTGGTTCCAGCTTCTGCTAATGAGGATCTTGGGGGAGCAGGAGTGATGCTCAAGTAGCTGAATTGTTGCCACCCACAGGGAGACCTAGATAGAGTTCCCAGCTCACAGCTTCGGGATGGGAAAATCTAGGAAGTAAACCAATGGATGGTATCAAGATCTCTCTCATTCTCTTTCAAATTAATTAGTTAAAAGGAACAGGAGACTTCAATTAAACGAATTCTATAGCAGGCCATACTTAGTGATTCTTGCCATTTGAGGTGCCGGTTTGCATGTTTCCACCTTCATAGCAAGCATTTTACAACAGAAGTTGAAAGGCCTACAGCAAGGCCATGCAATTACTAAGAATGATGTAAGCCCATTTTCTGGGCTTCCTACACTTCTTTATAGTTCTCAGCAGTTCCATTTACGTAGTCACTAAATAATAACCACAATTTGCATTTATAATCTAAACTGTTTGTAATTCTAACTACAGGCTCAACCCAATCACTACAGCTAAATAATTTGGTTAACAAATTAATAACCTATTTACAATAAAATTGATTATATATAAACTTGTTAAAGTGTCAGATTACATCTGTGAAATCTGTGAAATGCTTATTTCACAACTTTTTAATTTTCCCAACACAATCTGAATGCATTAAAAATTCTGCTTATCTCCTTGCTAGTGTGTCTGGGAAAGCAGCAAAAGACAGCCCAAGTGCTTGAGCCCCTGGCACTCATGGAAGACCATATGGAGCTCTGGGATCCTGGCTTCAGCCCTGGACCAGGCTTGGCTATTGGAACCATTTGGGGAGTGAACCAGTAGATGAAAGATCTCTCTCTCTCCCTCTTCATCACTTGGCAAAGGAACTGCTCAGCTCCTAACAGAAGAGACCTAATCAAAATGGAATCACTTAAGCTAAATACTACATAAGCAATCAAGGAGATAGACCTCAACACAGCCCAATTTATTTCTGAAAACAGGAGATTCCGGTCTACTGAGAAAGCATAATCAAGAGTAACTTATTAGGGACCAGCGCTGTGGCGTAGCAGGCCATTGCGACCATTTGGGGAGTGAACCAGTGGATGGAAGCTCGCTCTCTCTGCCTCTGCCTCTCTGTAACTCTGCCTTCCAAAAACATATTTTTTTTTAAAAGTACCTTCTGCTTTAACTCTAACAAAAAATTAACTGAAGTAACCTGATGTTAACTGACAGTTTTTTGTATATTGTTCTATTGCCTTGTTCCTATGTAAGAAAACCTACTGTTGTCTCACTGCCCAGAGGGAACTATTATTCTTTTTTATATAATGAAGGCTGCCCAGATTCATGAATTGCAGTTAAGTCAATTAGATCAATAACTAAATTTGTTGTCATTTTTTCTTTCAACACACTTAAACTTCACTTCCATAGGTTAATTCTTCAAACTTAAGTATTTTCTTTTTTCCCTCCTACCCTTCTGTCCCTGCCCCAGTGCACACCTAAATTAGTGGCCAAGGTCTAGATGTTCTCACTCTTATCCACCTTGTGCAAACCATAAATTGATCCACTTCAGATATTTCTTGTATGTCAATTTTTAAACAATGACATAATTATATGTATCTTCAGACACATTTATAGGAAGATAACAGATATATTTACATTTATTTAATACTATGTTTTATATACAGAGCAACTGGCAGTTGTCATAATATGTAGTTGTTAGGGGATAAGAGAAAGCATTAACTGATTGTCATTACTTAATAATTCAAATGACTTTCTTTTTGTAGTCTCAAATATGTCAATGTTGAAATATATGCATAAGAATGAGTACGGGGGCCAGGACTGTGACATAGCGGGTAAAGCCACCGCCTGTAGTGCCAGCATCCCATGTGGGTGCCACCTCGAGACCTGGCTGCTCGACTTCTGATCCAGCTCTCTGCTATGGCCTGGGAAAGCAGTAGAAGATGGCCCAAGTCCTTGGGCCCCTGCACCCATGTGGGAGACCCAGAGGAAGCTCCTGGCTCCCAGCTTCAGATCAGCCCAGCTCCTGCCATTGCAGCCACCGGGGGAGTGAACCAGCAGACGGAAGACCTTTCTCTTTCTCTGCCTTTGCCTCTCTGTAACTCTGCCTTTCAAATAAATAAATAAATCTAAAAAAAAAGAGGGGCCGGCACTGTCGCACAATGGGTTAATGCCCTGGCCTGAAGTGCCAGCATCCCATATGGGTGCTGGTTTGAGGCCTGGCTGCTCCATTTCTGTTCCAGCTCTCTGCTATGGCCTGGGAGGGCAGTGGAGGATGGCCCAAGTCCTTGGTCCTCTGCACCCACGTGGGGGACCTGGAAGAAGCTCCTGGCTCCTGGCTTCAGATGGGTGCAGCTCCGGACATTGCAGCCAACTGAGGAGTGAACCAGCAGATGGAACATCTCTCTCTGCCTCTCTTCTCTCTGAGTAACTCTTTCAAACAAATAAATAAATCTTTTAAAAAAAAGGGGGGGGGGGGGTATGTAGGGACCAGCGTTTTGGAGTCACATGCAGAGCTGCCACCTGCAACACCAGCATTCTCTGTGGGTACCAGTACATGCCCAGCTGTTCTACTTCCAATCTAGCTCCCTGCTAATGGTCTGGGAAAAGCAGTGGAAGATGGTCCAAGTGCTTGGGACACTACCATCTACATGGGAGACCCAGATCAAGTTCCTGGCTCCTTGCCTTAGCCTGGCCCAGCCATGGACATTGCAGCCATTTGGGGAGTCAATCAGCAGATGGAAGATTTCTCTGTCTCTAACTCTTTCAAATAAATAATAAATAAAACTTAAAAAAAAAAAAAAGAGTATACTTTGTGTTTGTCAGTCTAGTATCTCCAGGAAAGGACTGGTAATCCACATTGTTAATCGAGGTGGTGAATACAGCTGAATAAAATGAATAGCTATATTTTCTCCCACATTTAAAGCCTCCTTAGGCCCCTTACTAATGACATGTTTTTTTCTCCTTCCTAAGAAATAACAATTACTATGAAATTTGATTTACAAAAGAGTGTGTATTTAATAACAAATTAGTGGCAGGCATGCACATCAGGGAAGACCACCTCCCATATTGAAGTACCTGAAATGGGTCCCAACTATTCTACTTCTGATCCAGTTTCCTCCTAATGCATCCTGGGAAGCATCAGATGATGGAACAAGTACTTGAGTCTGCCTCCCACCTGGGAGACCTAGACGGAGTCAACCTATGGGCTTTGGCCTGGTCTAGCCCCAGCTGCGGTGGGCATTTGGGGAGTGAATCAGTGGATGGAAGATCTCTTTCTGTCACTTTGCCTTCCAAATAAATAAAACTACTAACAGAAAACATAAATTATAAAGCCAACAAAACATTTAAAAGGGTGAGCTCATAACAGAGATAAGGACACAGAGAACAAATATATCAAAATGGAAGTGTTATGGACTAAATTTTTTACCCCTCCAAAATTCATATGTATTGGGATTCTTTCTTGTCTGACAGGATCCTCTGTGTAGTCAGTACTAACAGACGTTGCGCACTTCACAGAGAACCCAAGGGCAAGAGAAATGCTTCCCCTAAGTCACTCTTAACCTTACAGCAGCTTGTTCTAGGTGATGCCTAGTTTAAGTTCAAAAGAACTTTCTGTGATGATGCAACTATTTCATATCCTATCACATGGTTACTGAGCACTTGAAATGCAGCTAGTGTGATTGAAAAAATGTCTTTAATTTGTCTTTATTTTAAATAACCACATGCAACTAGTGGCTTCAGTATCAGACAAGGCAGTTTTAGAGCCTAGGTTTAAAAAAAGTCTCAGGAAAATAAAGAATATGTGTACAATTGGCCCTCTGTACAGACTTTTTCTTGTGATTATTCCCTTAACAAATGAGCATAAAAACTACTTCTATAACATATACACTGTACTTGGTATTGTAAGTAATCTAGAGACTTAAAGCATATGAGAAGATGTACACAAATTATAGGCAAATATACACCATTTTTTATAACGTGAGTATCCCCTCAGATTTTAGTGTTGGATGCAGTCCTGGAACCAAATCTCCATGGATACAAAGAAATGACTATGTTTCTTAACTGCCATTCTAAACCCTACATGCAAACTGCAAATGTGGCTCCATCTCCTACCTTACCTGCCTGGCAGACACATATGCTTGTCCTCATTTCAGGCAGCATCTCATCTGTGAAGTATTGGCAGTATAGAGTTAGTAATTCTTAATTATTACAAATCAAGTCATAGTATGTTGTCATTATTGGTTTACAGATCTGTGTCCCATGCTACACTGGGAATTTCAAGAAAGCCAATGTGTCAGTCATTTCCCAAGAGTCTAACAAGAGTCCTAAAACCCTGGCCCTCTGCGTCACTAGTCAATTTATTAAACCAATCTCCATCAAACCAGAATCAGCTCTTGATTACTTCACACTTGTCTGAAACCTTGTATCTCACCCACAACCATCCTGGAACTGGGGGCTGGTCATGTTTTATGTGTTAAAGGATGTTATACTTCTGTGTACATCTGTAAAATCAGGGAAATGATGCTTATTAAAAGTCAAATGCTGTAGCTCAGCAGGTTAACCCACTACCTGTGAGTTCAGCATCCCATGGCCAAGCCCGGTTGCTCCACTTCCAATCCAGCTCCCTGCTCATGTGCCTGGGAAAGCAATGGAAGAGGGCTCAAGTGCTTGATCTCCTGCCACTATTATGTGAGACCCAGATGGAGCTCCAGGGCAGGTTTTAGCCTGGCCCAGCCCTGTTGTAGCCCTTTGGAAAGTGAACCAGTTGATATAAAATCTCTTTCTCAGTCTCTTCACTCTGTCTTTCAAATAAATAAATTTATAAAAAAAAGTTAAGTGAAAGTAACAAGCAAGTAATTATACAGAGTCTGGAATTCAGGGCCACACATACAAATTTCCTAAGTTTTGAAATAGAGCTAGCATTTGAAGCTATGCAACTCATGAATTAGGTCACTTAGGGACTGAGTGTAGTTGAATACCTGTACCCCACTGTCAAGGACTCAGAGGTTAAAAAAAAAATTAGAATGACTGAGAAGGGACAACTAACGACATAGAGGAAAACTAGGAAAGCATGCAGTCTCAAAGCCAAATGAATACAGTGATTCAAGGAAGACAATCATCCCAGGCACCACAAATACTACTGATAGATCAAGTAGGAAAGCAAGGCCTATATTTCTTTCCCTGGATACCAAATCCTCCAACATGAAATAGAGAAAAAGTGAGATACCACTTTGCACTCCCTTACCAGTAACAGCAAAAAACCAGAAGTTCTAGCAGTGCTACCTGATGTTGGTATTTTAGTCATTTGCATTCTATGTACGCTATATCGGAGCATCACACCTTCCTTTTAATATCCATGTGAAACAAACTTTCATAGACGACAGCAATTCTCTTGGGCAACATTCATTTTAAATGAAAATTAATCTGAGGTTTTGTTTTTACCACTTGAGACTCTTCCTGGCACAACCAGTGTGTCCCATTCAGCTGAAACTCGTTCCTTAGACTCGAAGGTTTGGCGTAACTTTTAAGAATCACGGCGGTTTAACGCGATACAGCTTCCGAAAGAGAACGGGCAAACGTGTCAACGTTCACGGTCGGGCTTAAAGTTAAACTCTGGGGTCCTCAATAAATATTTTTGACTTAACTGTGGAAGAGCTGCATTTTACAGCCGGGGGGGAGGGGGGAGATAGGTGGGAGGGTGCGAACGCCCTCCAGGACACTTACCGTGTTCCCACGCCCCTAACACGGTGTGCCGAGACGGACCCGCGAGCTGGAGGTCACCGACCCGGCAGACCCGCGCATCACCCTTTCTGGACCCTTAGGTTAAGAGAAAAATCCCCTGCCCACCGGCCAGGGACTCACCTGCCTCCGCTGTGGCGAAGACGCGCGGTGAGGGGCCGCCCCAGCAAAGCCCTCGTCTCGTCACCGGACAATGCCCGGGGAGGAACGTTCCTTTCGCTGGGGTAGGAGCCGGCAGGGCGCGGCGTGCTAGCCTGGTCTCCCGGGTCTCTGGGATCCGCTGCCGCCGCTGTTTCCTCAGGTGTCTTCCTCCAGCAGCTTGCGAGCGCGCGCGCTCCTGCCTCGTCGCTTAGCAACCTGCGAAGCTGTCCCCCGTTCCAGACACACCAATCCTCCCCGCCCCTCCAGGGCACGGATACTTTTTTTAAAAGACTGTTTCCGGGTCGAGTCGGCTTTACGCGGCGGAAGGTCTCTTTGCCTCCCACGCTTACTCTCGAGGGAGGATAGTCTCCGCTGCACGCATGTGGGGGATGTAGCTAAGGGGTCTGTCTCTCCTCCCTCAAGTTTCACACGCCTTCCCGCCAGCCAATTGCCGGGCGCCATCAGACAAGTCTTTCCTTCTGAGCGGAAACCATCCGCTCGTCCTCGTGCTCCAATCACAGCGGCTCGCCCTCGGGGACTATTTTGCAGTCGTCCAAGGGCGCAAGGAGAAGGATGAGAATAGAACCTCTGGTCGTGGGAAGTGTAGTTCAACGCAGGAAGGAAATGCCTTGAGGTGGCGCTAGAGCCGCGTCGGCGTAAACTACAGTTCCCAGAGGGCGCCGCGGTCTCGGTACTGCTTTTTCTCTCCTGCCCGGCTCGCCCTCCCCGAGTCAGTTCCGCGGTAGAGGTGACCTGATTCTTTGCAGCTGGTTTTTGCAGGTGCTGAAATTGCCTGCGCAGTTCTCAATCATGGTGAGTTTGGTCCCCCGGCTTCTGCCCACCCGCGGCCTTCGCAGCCTGGTGCAGGAGTCCTCGTCTTGAGTGACTTTTGGGAGGCGGCTCTGCAAGGCGCTGTCCTTGGCGCCGTTTGGAAAGCTTCGGTTCATCTTCTGGGGACTGTCGCAGTAACCCAGTAATGGGGAAGGGGTTGATTTCTAGCTGGGGGGCTCTTAGAAGGACTCTGGAGAAATCAATGTCCGTGGAGAGGCGGGATCCCAATCTTGACGCATGGCGGGGTACAAAATGCCAGTCTATAGGTTTTTTCCGATGAATGACACGGAGTTTGACGTGATCGATAACGGTTTGATGGGAGAGGAGAAGCTTGGGTCCTAGGCTTTTTCTTAAGCCCTCGGTGTTTTCACGGGCTTTTGTCAGAACCTGAGAGCGAAGGGCTCTCGACTTGTAAAAGTAGCGCTTACCAGGTGCTCCCGATTACCATCTGCGTTGTCAGGAGACGTGTTTCCGCCATATCTAATTTCACAAAACGTTATTTAAAACCTGTCCTTTGATTTTTTAGCAGCCCCAGGAAGTGTTGGCATCACTGGCCAAACAACTAGTGCGGACGTATTTTACTGCTCTGTGTTATGAATTCCAGAAGCAGCTCATTTAAATGTAATGCAACTGTCTTGTCATTGAAGATCTGGATCCCTAGGTCTCCATGTCTTGTCCCTGCTGGGGGAGGGGGGGTGGTTCTGACGTAGGAGTAATCTGCGCACGCTTTGAAGGTGACATCTGCCATCCAAGAATTTGCTTCGGTATTTGTGTTTATGATTGAGACTACTTTTTCTCCTTTATTTCAAAATAATACTAAAAGGGATGGGGAGGCAATGTTTGAATGAATTAGAAATTTCCCATTACTTGAAAAGACATGTTTTCAAGACACGGGCATTACTCCTGTACCTGTATAAGAAGGCCAGTGGGGACAGGTACTGAGTTCGTAGTTAAGTATTAAACCTTCATATATACATATATCTTGTTATATTACATAATTGGTCACTTAAATTATGTTTCAGCTGTTAAAGATCATCTTGACAAATCTCTTTACTTCTCATCTTAAAATTGAATTTATTAAGACCCAGAGAGAATGTGGTTTGCTCAAGGTTACACAGGTTTGCCCGAGGGTCTCCTACTCTTTCCATTTTACTGTGTGTGGTACACTTACCAAAGTCAGCCTAAAAATTCGTTTTTAGTAGCTGAGGTTCCAGATGAAGATACAAATGAGGATACCAGGATGTAGAATAACTACTAACTTGTGTTTAGGATATTGGAATTCCAAACTGAGAAGGGAATTTGAAAATTATTTCATCTAATCTTAAAATGTAGACCGATGAGGTCAAATGATTTTCTCAAGGTCACAAAGAAAACATGGGCCTCCTATGGTTTTGGTTTTGCTACACAGCACAGGGAGCCAGGTATCACCCTTGGAAGGTCATTGGGGTACCAGATAACATAGCGTTGCCCATGAGGAAGGGTCACTCTGTGAATTTGCTACAGTTGACAGGAAATTCTCACATAACTCAATCTCATGGCCTCCTCCAAAGATTGTATGAACAATCACTGATTTCAAAAAGAACCATCAAAGCCAATTCAAATTAGGTGTTTTTTTTGGTTTTTTTTTGTTTTTTTGAGGGAGGGAAATTTTTGTGTCCATGAGGAGTAACAGCAAGAATAAATGAAGGAATGTGACTGATATGCTTGTCTTTTGTATTACAGAAGGATATGTAAATTAGAAGGTAAAAAAAATGTGTCTTTCTGTGCAGTAACAGGACACTTAAAGCTGTATGACTAGAACTTGAGCACATGCGCAAAACAGAGCTGGTATCTAAAGGAAGGTCATTAGTGCCCTGCCAAGAGCAAAGACATTCCCGCCTGGATTTTGGCAGGCTGCCCAGATATCTGAGCAAAGAATAGTAACCTGTGTTCACTCTGTAACATTGTGAAAAGCCAGCAGGACTCTTCCACCCTCCTGCTTTTTCAGCAGCACTGTTGCAAAAGAGCAGTGAAAACCAAGTATGTGCTTTCTTTACATATTTCATCATCAAACATTCAGACCCTCACTAGGCTTCATACTACTCTTAACAAGATGGAATTACCTACTTGTGAAAATAATTGCCCAAAGACACAGAAGGAAACTGCTGAGGTAGAATTAGCTCTTGATTAGTTGGCCACAACCCCCTCACTAAAGAGCATGAACACAGTTTTAGAAGCTAACTTACCTTCTAAAACTGAACTCAATCTTTTCTAACCACCTACCTGACTTTTTTGTATGTTAAGCTTTATAGATACTGATAAACACTTCCCCCTCATTTCGTCTACTTTGCTTTACATTGAAGTAGCCTGTGTGTATATTTTTCTTTACCCTTCGTTCTTCAGTAAATGTTTGTTGAACATTTCGAAACTTCAAATTTGAGTCAAAGCAGACTTGTGTCAAGGAGGCTTCACAATCTTAGTAGAGTGACAGACAAGTTTATAGAAAATCACAAGCTATGAGGGTTCTTAGGGACCAGTAATTAGAACACTTAACTACATATTGTTAGTGCTTTGTATGTTAACTTTCAATCCTTAAAACAATACTGTTTGTTAAATAGCTGTTATGAGGGCACTCCAAAAAGTTCATAGACAATGGGATTAAAAGCTATTTATTGCAAAAATTTTTTTTGAAGTCCATTCATATGAAAGGTGTTTGTAAAGTTCATGAAAATACATATTTATGAAAAAAAGATTGCAGTGGGTTTTTTTGGCACCAAATAAACTTGTCTTTTAATTCCATTTATCCACAAACTTTTTGAAGTGCCCTTATTTTATCTCCATTTTACTATGAAAAAACAATACAGAAATGTTGAGTAACTTGCCCAGAAACATCCAGCTAATGAGTTGTGAAACCAGAACTCGAAACCAGAAACTCTGGCTGCAGAAACCATCTCTTCAGCTACTCTTCTCTATTGCCTCTGTAATCATTTTCTCATTTTTATTTCCACCTAAATAACAATAAAAGTTTATTTTTCCTCTTCCGGGTAGTTAAGTTGAGGCATAGTTATTTCTTTAAAACATTTTGAAGTAATATAAGTGGAAAGTTTTAATCACTGTTAATTCCTTGTCCCAGGGTAAAAGATTGTATTGAGCTGATGAGAGTAGGGCATTAAAGCTGTAGTGGCCAGGCAAGTTTGTATTACCAAGAGGATATCAACATGTAAGTCTGATCTTTGCAGTAAAGTATCCCAAAAGAGATGGGTAAGATCATGTAAGTAAATCTAGGATAGCACTTTTAAATCTCCAGATGGTTAACAGTTAAATAATACCATGAAAATACGCAGCCCAAGGACATGTGCTCTCTAAGTTGCTTAGTTAATGGTGATTTACTGGAACATATCAGTTTTTGGGGACATTGTTTTGACTGAGCAAGTTAAGCTGCTGCCTGCAACGCAGGCGTCCCACATGAGTGCCAGTTTGAGTCCTGGCACTCGACTTCCCCTCCAACTCCTTGCTCGTGTGCCTGGGAAGGCAGCAGAAGACGGCCCGAATGCTTGAGCCCCTGCAACCACGTGGGAGACCCAGATGGATTTCCAGGCTGATGGCCTCACCCAGCTCCAGCTGTAGGTGGCCATCTGGGGAATGAACCAGTTGGTGGAAGATTCTCTCTCTGTAACTCTGCCTTTCAAATAAATAAAATCTTTTTTTTTTTTAATGTTTTCTAATAAGCCAGAGGCAACAAACTTTAAATTTTTTCATTTACTTTTTTTTTTTTTTTTTTTTTTGGCAGGCAGAGTGGACAGTGAGAGAGAGAGAGAGACAGAGAGAAAGGTCTTCCTTTGCTGTTGGTTCACCCTCCAATGGCCGCCGCGGCCAGCGCGCTGCAGCCGGCGCACCGCGCTGATCCGATGGCAGGAGCCAGGTACTTCTCCTGGTCTCCCATGGGGTGCAGGGCCCGAGTACTTGGGCCATCCTCCACTGCACTCCCTGGCCACATCAGAGAGCTGGCCTGGAAGAGGGGCAACCGGGACAGAATCTGGCGCCCCGACCGGGACTAGAACCCGGTGTGCCGGCGCCGCAAGGCGAAGGATTAGCCTAGTGAGCCGCTGCGCTGGCCAAATTTTTTCATTTACTTTTAAAGTATGTGTATTAGTATTAAAATCCTGAATTTCTTTAGGGTAAAATAGCATTGTTTAATGAAATGTTAATGTGTGTTTTTCATTACAGACTGAACCAATCAGAGTCCTTGTGACTGGAGCGGCTGGTCAAATTGCATATTCACTGCTATATAGTATTGGAAATGGATCTGTCTTTGGTAAAGACCAGGTAGGGGCATGTGTCTATAAATTTTAAGTCTTTAGTGTAAGAATAGTATTAATAAAACCCTGTATGTAGTTGCAAACAAGTTTTAAAATGGTGAAGGAATAGGTAGTCCCAATAAACATAATAGGCACATTGCCATAAATAAACTGTCCCTCGGGGCGGGGCATTGAAACACTTTGCAAATCAAAACTATTACACATACTGTTGACTTGGTGCCACCAACAGGTGTCCGTGGAGGTGAGATATCATTAATGACATTAATTGTTAGGGAAGGTCATGGGAGAAAAAGTTGCTGAATCTGCAGTTCCTTGTTTATAAATGGTCTTTTGAAACAAAATAGTCAAACAGGAAGTCTTCCTATTTCAAAGTGGGCACTCCTAATCCACCATATCTGATTATGCTAAAATCCTTCTCTAAAAATCATTTATTCATTGACTTGGCACACATATATGAATTTCTTGCTGTCAGACACTG